CCTGCCTGAGACTATGCTTGAGCAGATGTTACTCTTTTCAGAACTATGTGGTGGTCTTCCTTCCTTCCTTCCTTCCTTCCTTCCTTCCTTCCTTCCTTCCTTCCTTCCTTCCTTCCTTCCTTCCTTCCTCCTTTCCTTCCTTCCTCCTTTCCTCCCTTCCTCCCTCCCTCCCTCTCCTAACCTTCCCTTCCTTCCTCCTTTCCTCCCTTCCTCTCTCCCTCCCTCCCCTAACCTTCCCTTCCTTTCTTCCTCTCTTTCTCTCTCTCCCTTCCTCCTTCCTTCCTTTTTTTAAAATCATAGATCTGTTTATAAGTAGATAATGAACATTCCTGTCTATTAATGAAAACTTTTCTTTTTGAGTGCTGGGGATCAGACCAAGGGCCTCGTACCTGCTAGGCAAGTGTTCTACCACTGAGATACATCCCAGCCCCACGTTTTCAAACAATTTTTTTAACTGTATTGGGATTGAACCCAGGGCTTTCCATATGAGCTACACTTCTAGACCTTCTTTTTAAAAATTCACTCATATGTTTTGCTTTTTTTTTTTTTTTTTGGTGGTACTGGAGTTTGAACTCAGGGCCTTACACTTGCTAGGTAGGTGCTCTACCACTTGAGCCACTCTACCAGCCCAGAACTTGCTCTTACAAGACAAATGCTCCACCACTTGAGCCACACTTCCAGCCCTGTTTTCAAACTTTTAAAGGACTTTGTTGAGGTCTGCAAAAGCTTCTGCTGAACCCTTCACTGTGAATTTACTCTTCTTTTTCTCTTGTAGTTTCCCTTTCTCTTGCCTCTTCTTTAGTTATGTGTTCACCATCTGATAAGAATTTTTTAGAGCTGGGGGCATGCTCTAGCAATTTTGAAGCTCTGAGTTCAACCCGCAGTAAAACACACACACACACACACACACACACAAAATTTTCAGCTCTATTATCAATTTATAAGATCATTGTCATATATGTGGCCCATGACTGAAGACAGTCATGGCCCCTACTTCTAACCCAACCAGAGTGTGTTCTTACATTTATGTTCCCTTCAGGGGCATATGCAATCCAATTTGTCACTTCCTTCTCATAGACCTCCTTCTCTTCCCCTCTCAGACCTTCTTTACAGATCCTTCCTGCCACCATCACTTCCCAACAGATTCTACCTGCCCCCATCTTTTTTCCCATGTCTCCATTGTTTCCCATGTCTCCTCTTTGTCTCCATCTCTCCTCACAGACCTCCTTCCCCTCATGTTCTTCCTGTAAAATATTCTGCCTTCATCCTCCCCCAAGACCTAACCTCATTCCCTATCCACAGATCCCACTTCTCTTCTCCCCAGACTCACTTCTGCCCCCAACTCCACTGCCCAGACCTACCCTCAGGTTCTCCCCACAAAATGCAACTGTTTAGGTCAACCATACTTTACTCACATTCTCCTCACCCTTCGTGGCTCTATGCCTCATCTTCCTTGACTCATTTCCCATCCTTTCTTCCCTTCCCAGTTTTCTCACTCTGCCCTTGAAAATCCTTGTTCCTGATCATATAGGTCTCCTTGATTCTCAGCTTCACAGTCATTCTGCCACAAAAAGGTGGCTCACCCCTGGGGCTTCACTTCTGTAAAGACTTCCTTGGTTGAAGCTGCTTATATTCTTATACCCTTAAGGATCCCAGGGTTGGGAGAGGGGCTGGTGTCTCCTCTCCAAAGTCCAACCCAGTTCCATCTTCTAGCTCCTTCTTTTAAAAACCCTTGATACTTCCAGGGTCAGGATAATTCAGCAGCACTGACATTTTCCTCTCCTCATGCTGTCATTTAGAGACTCTAGAACAACCTGCTTTATTCTCAAATATTCTGCTATCCAGCTCTCCTGACCCCAGTCCTGCCATCATCCAAGAGGACTTCAATAGCCATGTCAGCATCCTGATTGTCTTTGACCACTTGCTCCCATGGCCACACCCTGGACCTTGTCATCACCTGGAACTACTCAAACTTCTTACTCCCTTTCTGATCACAACTCACTCGTTTAACTGTTTCCAAGTAGGAGTTTTCTTCATTTTGATGTTCAGTCCATAATGCCTTTTCTCTCTCCTATCCAGTTTAGGCTCTAAGCCCCATTGTTTCAACCACTCTTTTGCTGGAATCCTCAACTTCCTCGTCCTCTGTTCTTCCATTGCATCCACCTGATAAAACTCAAACCTGGATCAATTTAGCTAACCTCTCTGCACCCCCCCACTAGTGACTGAATGTTGTTGGGGAAAAAATGCACATTATACAACCATGCAGACTGCTACTGCTACACATGAATGGTTACCAACCTTGACAAAGCCATTGTAACTGAAATCTGCATACTTCTCCAGTCATCTTGCTCCCATTCTATATTGCTGCTATTTCAATCTCTCTCTGCTCTTTTTCAACGTCACACATCATCTCTAATCCTGCTCTCACTGGCTAATACCATGTCCCTATGTCACAGAGAAAATACACCATCAAAAAAGAATTCTCTTAACTTCCTGTCACCAAACCTAGCAATGTAATCTCAACACACATGCTTCCCTTCTGCTACAACTCAAATACTTTTCCACCACTTAGAGTGAATTCTTCTGGGCTAGGTATATGGTTCAAGTGGTAGAATGCCTGCCTAGCAAGCTTGTATGCCATGAGTTCAAACTCTAGTACTACCCACCCTCTGCCAAAAAAAATCTATTACCAGCACCTTTTTTTTTCCAGGGGCAGCACTCTCTCAGTTATCTTTTTTTTCTCCTATAATTTTATTTTTTCTCTTCTTTGCTGCTTCTATGCTTCCATCCGAATAAAAACCTAGACTTCTTTCCAGCTATTGCCTTCTCTGTTTCTTCTCCTAAATGGCCTAATTTCTCAAAAGTGTTCACTTCCTCATCTTCTCATCTACTTCTCACCTGTCACAATTTAACCTCTGATCAACCACTCACTGAAACTATACTTGTAAAGGTCACCAACATCTTTCTTGTTTGTAAATCCACTGGAGTCTTGGAGATTTTATTTTACTTGATCAGTTATTAGCCTTCAACACTTTCCTCCCATGGTTTCTGAAACACCATGTTCTATTACTGATTCTCTTCTTACCACTTTGGACATTTCATCTCAATTATCTTTGCAGGTTTATCTTCCTTTGCAGACCTTCAAACTTAAGTGCTTCTCAGGGATCTGTCCTAGGTCCTTTTCTTACTCTACACATGCTCCCCGGCAAGCTCCATAAATCTGGTATGACTGCCATCCACAAGGCCCTACAGAACTCCATGTTTCTACTTCCAGTTTCTACTTGTCTTGTGAACTCCAGTTGGGCAGATTCAGGCACTTGGATGTTTCACCAACACCTCAAATTCACCATGCCAAAAACTGACCCCCTCCTAAAAACCCTGATTCTACTTCCTTTTTCCCAAACCAGGAATCCAGAAGTCATTCTTCATTTCTCCTACTTCCTCCAAACCCACGAAGTCACCAAGTCCAGTTCTTTGTAAGCATCTAAGGAATCCATTCCCTATTCTATATTTCAGCTGCCACTCTAAGCTGTATGTCGCCATAATCCTTCCTCACCACTGAAACAACTTCCTAGCTGGTCTCCTTTCTCCCAATCCTCAATCTGTTATAAAAATCCTCTGTGCTGTAAAACACATCTGATCTTTATCCTCCTGCATAAAGCCCTACAATGACTCCCTGCTGTCCTCATGACAAATCTGAGCTCTTGTGCTTATAGGTACAAAATGCATTGGAAAATATGTTAGCAGCAGCAAGATCTACTTATTAATTCAAAGCTAGCTTGGCATCAAACACTCTCCTGGATCTGAGCCTGTCCTTCCCAGGTTTCTCTCACATTAGTCTCTTCTCTGGCCAGAAGATGCTTCATGTAATTTCTGGCACTACCGTTTACTTTCCCTTCTTACTTTTTTTTTTTTTTTTGACAGTACTGGACATAGAACTTGCTAAGCAAACACTGTACCACTTCAGCCATGCTCCCAGCCCTTTTTTGCTTTAGTTATTTTTCAGATAGGGTCTCGAGCTTTTTCCCTCTGCAGGCCTCAGATTGCAGTCTTCCTACCTATGCCCAAATAGGTGGGATTACAGGCATGAGCCACTGTGTGTGTGTGCGTGTCTCACTTCCTTTCTTTAAGCTTCTCCTTTCCTATCACCACAAGTCTTGCAAGCTCTAGCTCAAGAACCATGCTCATTGCCATAAATACCTCTTCTCTTGGATTCGGTTCCTAAAATTCTTACTTTTCTTTGGTACTTATCCTCCGCACAGGATCAGAGTTGGTTCATGTATGGTTTCTCCCCCTCTCACATAAGAGTTAAAGAAGTTAGGATCAAAAGCTTGATCTCGTAAGAGCCCAAGGAACCTTACTTAGCCCAATCTGTGGCACATAACAGGTGCTTAGAAAATATGTCTTAAATGCATGAATAAATGCAAGCATGCTGGACCCCTTGGTGTCCCCTATGGAGAGGACGTTCTTTAAATCATCAGTTGAGGATCGCTTTCCACCCAGCCTCAACTCAATTGGGTGGAGGACGGGTTGGCACGCGCCGCCTAGGCCGTTTTGTACGGTTTTCTACCTCCAGCCCTCGGAGCTGCGACTGGTAGAGGATGGCAGAAGTAACTTGACGGTGCAAGTCCAAGGACTCTGTCTTCGGCCTAGTAGGATAAAACGCAGTTCCAAAGACTCTCCCCACTCCCAGAATACAGCAACTCTCGGAGACTCTTACCTTCACAGGAGAGCGGGGACTCGTCCTGACCGGCTTCCCAGCTGACCAATACCTGATCCAGATCAAGAGAGCCAGCCAATGACTGCGGGCCAGAGATCGAGGGGCGGGGCATGATTGCTAGGACTAGGCTAGAGGTGCCGGCGGGGGGGGGCCGGGCTCTGAGAGACTCGGTGGTTGCTAGGGAGGGAGGTCACAGAGCTCGGCTCAGGGATTGGGCAGTGTCGGGAGGGGGTGGGGACTGGGCGGCACCCAGGAGGAGGCCGGGCGAGGCCCGGGCGCGCGGGCGGGAGTTCCGGCAGTAGGCCCGTGTTGAGGGCCGGGATCTTCACTATGGCTGCTGAGCTGGACTACACCATCGAGATCCCGGATCAGCCCTGCTGGAGCCAGAGTATGGAACGAGGGTTGGGTCCAGACGTGGGGAGGTGACCTAACTAGGCTGTGGGTCGCGAGTGCAGTTGTGGCCCCGCCCCTTCGCGACCCGCCCCCTCCTAGGGTCCCGCAGGTCCCCGATTTTGCTGCGCGCAGAGAGCCCCGCCCTTTCTTGAGCCCCGCCCCAGCACGTGCCCCCTTTCCGAGGCCCGCCCCTTCCTTGCATCTTCTGCTGGGTCTTTTATTCTCTCTTTTCTATCCAGGCTTCTCAGGCCCGTTCCCTTGTTTCTCACTTCGTAGCTGGAGGCTGCCTACGGCCCATCCTGATTCTTTTGTTTGGGATAAGGCTTTCCACTTCGCGCCCCTAATCGCTAATTGTGCTAGGGGTACCACCCATTATTTTCTTGAAGGAACGGAGTCCTCAGTGGGTCAGAATCTGGGGACTCAGAACACCTAGCCTCTCCACTCTTACTGGCAGAGGTTAATAGAGCAGTTTCTGCCGTCAGGCCGAACACTGTTGAAATCCTTCCCTTTAGTGATAGAATGACTTATGGTAAGGTGACCACTCTGTACTTGAGTTTCTGCCTCTGCAAAGCAAGGGCAACACTAGTAAACTCTTTTAGGATTGTTGACTGCACACTGAGATTATTTGTGTAAAGGACCCACCACAGATCCTGACATGGAGTTTAGTAATTGGCATTTAGGCAAGGGCTCTACCATTTGAGCCCCTCCCAAGCCCTTTAATTGGCGTTTAGTATTAACATTGTTTTTCCCCTATAGCTTTATCTTTGAGGAAAAACGTGGGAGACTCCACAAAATTCGTAGCCTTTAAAGCAGGCCTGCGCCCGTGGCAGTGTAAACTGGGAGAGAGAAGGCGGGACGCAGAGAAAGGAAAGTTGTTCCCGTTGGGAATTATGGTAGAGGAATAGTGGAGAACGGGTCAGCCTGAGCCCAGCATGTCTGACACCTGCATCACTCCAGCATTGCCTCATGCCTCCAGTCTCACTGCCAGCAGCTCAGCCTCTTATATTGGCATCACTGTGATGCAAAGGTTTGATCTTACTACCACTCTTCATAAAACCCTTCAGTGGTTCCTTAATTGCGCTCAGGATAAATCAAGTCCAGATTCCTTAGCATGGCATTTAAAGGCCTTCATAATTTAGCACTCTCTGCTTACTTCTTTGATCAATGTGTTCTTCCACTGTCCAACGTGAATTTTATGATCTGGCAACACCAAATGGTTTGTGATTGTCCCAACACTTCTTGCTTCTCTGCCTTTGCTTCTCTCCTCTCCTGCCCTTTTCCCTCTGCTGCCCTGCATTGCCTCCTTGCTTGTCCAGTTCATCATGTAAGGCTTAGCTCAGCTGTTGCCTTTTTCAGGAGAGCCTTCTTAGATCTCTCCAGTAACATTGTGTGTTCTGTGGTTGAAGTCTAGAGGGAGAGAGCAGCAGCCCCTAGTTTCCCAAAGAACAGATAACTCTGACCAGATGTTTTTCCTTAGTGCTGAATCTGTTGGCTTAGGGCTTTTGGGCTTATAGCTGTATAAATACTTATGGAAAGTTTTGGCATTAGCATGAAATGAAGTCAGTTAGTATTATTACCCTGGAAAGCCTTCCACTCCAAAGGGCTGGAGCTGCCTTCTGCATGACCAGGAAGGCAGAAATTCTCCACCCAGGTGGATAGCCTGAGAGCATTGATTCAAATTTCTGCTCTATCTCTTGGAGCTCCAAGGCTTTGGCAAATTATTGAACATTCCTGAGCCTCAGGATTCCTCCACTGTTAAATGGGAATAATAATAATGTCTACACCCCCAAGACTGTGAAGGTTAATAGGGTAGTGCTTGGATGCCTGTGCCTGGAAAGGAGCAGGTGCATTTCTTCCCCTGGGCCTCCCCTCACTGCTTCAGGAGTTTGGGGCTTAGAATAGGACGACACCTCAGGGGGTCAGTTCGTCCTGGGTCCCTCTGCTAGCATGAACACATTCCAGTTGCTAGCAGCCTTTCCCTACAGGGATGATTCCTGCCAAAAACCCTGGCTTGTCAGAGCCTATTGGAATTGTTAGAAAGCACTTCCCTTTCTTGAACCACAATGAGGATGCCTGTCTTTTCCGCTCAACATTTGCTGAGTTCTGGGCAGAGGTTAGTTGTTACTGCCTCAGAAGTGATTCAGGCACAAGCACCCTTCAGGGAGCTGTGGTTTGGGGAGAAAGGGCTTTTAAGCAGGTGGTTTCAAAATGATGTGGTAGCCCCATGGCTAAGGGTTGTTGTGGTGGGTACAACATAGATCAAGTACTCTCTCTCCCTGTGTCATGGGCTCTCTGTTCCCCAAGAGAAATACCTCCAGGGCCTCCTGTTGTTCCTCCTTCTGGTTATGCTGCCTCTGGATAGGAATCAGTTCGTTATACTCTTCTTTCTCATAGTGCATGCCCGCAGAGCTGAGCTGGAGGTTGTAGAGCCCCTCAGAAGGAGATAGAGACACTGTCGTCCCTGCACATCCATTTGCTTGCTCTCTGCATAGAGTTCCCCTACAGGCTGACATGTCTGTATAGAGTGATAGTTTTTTGGGGGTGGGATGGGGGAGGCGGAAACTGTCTCTTCTGCAGTTACTGTTTGATGATGGAGAAGTATATAGGACAGCCGTATTTGGTTTCTGGAATCCCCCACCCTACCCCTATTTGAAGTCAAAATCACAGAGCCCAGCACTGCTGTGAGTTGACAGAAAAGTGGGCAGCTGATGCTGGCACATCAATTAGCTGGAACACAGCTGCAGACTGGGGTTGTTCCATGCCCGGGGCTTTGTGGGCCAGGCTGGCCAGCGAGGATCCTCCTACTGGGAATCCCACCAGGCAGAATCTGGCTGCCAGTGCCAGGGGTAGTCTGCCCTCACCGTTGACTTGGAACCTGCCCTTTCCTTCATTTCCTTGAGCCAGTGATCCCCTTGCTCTCCTAATTCCCAGCTTCCCTTTCATGTCTTTAGTGGAAGATTGTCTCCTGAGACTCCCACAGCATTGTATTTCCCTGTCATTACAGTGCCTTTGACAGTTTTATGCACTGTTTCTGGGGCCTGGCAGGGATGAGGTGCCAAGCCGGCCTATTAGACTCACTTGGAATTACTGTAGGCCCAAGGCAGACATTCTGACTGTGCTGTGCTATACTGTCCCTTCTCCCTTCCAGAGACTGGTTAGCCAAGTCCCACCCAGGCCCCCACTTTTTTCTGTAGTTTTAGGAATGAAACCCAGAGCCTCTCACATGCTAGGCAAGTGCTCTACCACTGAGCTACATCCACAACCCCAGAAGCCTTTGTTGTTGTTGTTGTTTTTAGGGACGGACAGGGTCTTGCTGTATAGCCAAAGCTGGCCCAGAACTCACTGTGTAGACCAGACTGGCCTTGAACTCTCGATTCTCTGCCTCAGCTTCCCTACCCACGGTGTTGGGATTACAGTGTGCACTACCATGCCCAGCTTCCAAGCTACCTTCACGCTGCTTTCATGTTCTCTGAATATTTTAAAAATTTTATTCATAGAATTAATGGGGCTGGGGACTTGGAGGAAGAGACATGGTTTTTGTTCTTAAACAGAAGGCCTCAACCAAATCACACAGAGAGAAGGTGAGGGGTTTTAGATCCCCAGACTTTATTGTGAGCCTGCTCTTTTGCTAACTACTGGCCAGGGTGTAAGAAATGCAGCCATCATCTCAACCCTCAGGAAACTCACTGGTGTCAGGAAGGCAGTGCTGAGGTCTGGACAACAATGGGAGGCTTTGGTGGGGGATGGAGCTTTGGGAGGGCTGACAGAACCTTGGTGAGCATCAGAAAGGCCAAAAGTAAGGGCTGTGAAGGAGAACTTCGAATGGAGTGGCTGGAGGGAGCAGGGTTTTGGCAGGACGTTTTGGTAGTGGAGAATAAGTCAAAAACTTTAAGATCTAGCTGGAAGTGGTGGTACACACCTGTAATCCCAGCACTTGGGAGGCTGAGGCAGGAGGATCTTGAGTTTGAGGCCAGCCTGGGCTACACAGTTAGACCTTGTCTCAACAAAACAAAACAACCTAACAAACAAAAAGGACTGGGAACCCTTGCCTAGTATGTACAAGGCCCTGGATTTCATCCCCACCCCTGAAAAAACAACACAACTGCAACAAACAACCTCCAGAGGTGTCACCAGACAGGCCTGTCAGGAGTAGAGTCAGCCAGACTTGATCCTCAGAGCTGGGGATCAAGTGGTAGAGTGCCAGCCTACCAAGTATGAAGCCCTGAGTTCAAATTCCAGTACTAATGTAAATAATGTACAATATAAGTTTAATCCAAATTGTCACTACGAATCCTACCTGTATAATGAATATATCCTAATAAAAATTTATTTTAAAAAAATAAACCCAGTATCGCTGGGGGTGTGGGGGGAGAGAGGGTGTAGGGGGACTTGAGGGGGGGCAGGAAAGGGGGAAGACTTGGTTCTCTTCTTGACTCTGGGGACCCCCAAAGGCTTCTGCCACTGCCACCTTTTTCCAAAAGAATCTCATTTATTTTTGAATCATTACTTTTCTTTTACCCATTAATAAGAACCCTTTCTAAGTGCCTATTCTATGCCAGGTGCTATTTAATAGGCCCTGCATTTGAGGCCCAGACCTGATACACCCTTTGTAGGCCTTCTTTTCTCTGACTGTCTGTTATCCTTATGCTGCCGACCATACCTGTGTCCTATCCACACGCTGGCCTGCTGGGAGCGCCTTTCGTTAGTTTATTAATGCTCACCATCACCTTGTGAAGCAGGGGACTCTTAATCCTGTTTTATAGATGAGGAACAGACACATGGGGGAGGTGAAATATCTTGCCCAAAGTTATTCCAGATTGCAGCTTGAGAGCCTTCCCCCAAAACTTGTGCATGCAAAGATTTCAGCTGCCATTAGGAAGGACTGCCTGATTGCAATGCCATTTCTAGGAAACAGTGAGGGACCTGCACAAAGAAGGGTGTGTCCATTAAAGTATTTTTATTATAGTCCCAAATTGGAAACAACTTCATGTCCAG